GAGAGTTAAACAAAGAATTCATATTAGATCACTATTTTAGAAATGTACTGGACATGAGACTGAAGSAAAAGAAAATTAAAACTGAAAAGATTTGTTTTAAAACCTCTGCTAAAAACTTACTGTAGGAGTGATTAAAATGTTCGTATACCTATCGGTGCTCATGGAAGTCATATTTTTAYATCAATACTAGAATTACCTTGTTAGGTGTTACTAATATCCTAAACTGCAATATCATGTGGTTTTTTTTTACATTGGTTCTCATTAAGTAGGATGTTATTGCTACAATTGATAAGAGACAGAACCTAAAAGTTTACAACAACTGAATGACGGCAGTTGCATTTCACTCAGAACTATTACAACAGATAACTCTATAGGAGTCTTTTAAATAACTGATGTTTCTCTTCTCTTGATCTTTAAGAATATGAAAGAATCTTCTTTTTACTGAAGCATGTACAAGGAAGCTTACAAACCCGACTGATATTTTTAGAGAATGTTATTAAAGAAGCTTCAAGGTAAGTAACAGAATTATATTATTCTTAAAGAGCAATGCAGTGCCATGTAAAACTGCTGGACAGCCACACAGTTGTTTGAAAACAACAGTGCTTTACACTGCAAGTAAATATTTCCTTATGAAACAGCAGAAATGCATAAACTTCTTGAGGTGTTGCTTGTACAAGCTTACCTTTTTCTGTCAGATTTTGGCTTAAAGATGTTAGCAACTCTAACTGCCAAAACCCTAAAAATATAGATGGACAATGGTATAAAAAGAGAAGGTGACTTAAAAAAAAATAATTCCAGTTCCAATGTTCAGGTGTGAGTGTACTGCTAATTTGAAAATGCGGTGGAGCTGCCTATTACTGGGMATTAGGCTTTCAGAAATAGCATCAGCTCAAAATCTTGTCCTAAAAATAGTTCTGAAATTCAGGTATGCTCAGAAAGAGAAGTCTCTGCTCTTCAGCATACTTCATTACATGAAGACCTGTCTGAGACTTTGGAAATGGAGGTAACATTTCAGGAGAAGAGAGACTTGATAAGAATTTAAATCCTGTGGTTTTAATCTAGGTAGAAATTTACAGTATCCTTAGACTGTCCATAGTTAGCTTTCTACATCTTTACCAAAAAGAAATAAYGGAGAAACATACCAGAACCAATAGTGGTTGAGTTGCAGGGGACTAGTAATTTCMGCATCTTTCTTGGATCATAAATGTAATTAGAACTTTGAGGTTTACTTCAGAAACATCAAAGAATAGTTGATACTTATTCTCAAATACMTTTCAGTAGTAGCCTGATTTTTTTCCTGTAGTATTATTGAGTAAATTTTCTGATGAAAAAATCAAGTAATTGTAGGAGAAAATTATGCTGAGAGGTTAATGTTGGACTTCCATACAGATCCTCTAGCCTTCTATTGCCAACTCTGTGGGACATGTAAATTTATACAGATCATGCTCTTCCTATAGAAACAGTTGCTTTATTGTGCTTTTGCTTGATTAGTATATTGCCTGTTAAAGTTGTTCTGTAGCTTGTGGATTATACATTCTTCCTCACTGTCACAGCATTCTGAAAAAATACTGTTGCTCTTGGATTTTGTGGCAGCCCTTAGTGGGGTTGCAATGTTTATACCTGTAAAATTAGGCTTTTAAGATCACCTGTAACTCTCTTTTCTCCTGCACAGGCTCTTTATTTCAGCTGTCTTTWGTTGACGGTTCTACAAAATTTGACAGTGGTTGACTGTTGCTCTTGGATGCATCAGAATTAAATCCCATTTCCTACTATAACCAATAGTCTCCTGCATCTATTGATGGAGAAGGCTGGCAGCTATTTGTTCACTATTGTTAAACTTCAGGTTTTATTGGTTTGATTGTAGGAACAGCGTTATCTTCTTCCTTCTCTCCTTGGTTAGATTTTTATAGTGTGAAGGTTTTATCCACCTGGGTAGCACTGCTTGCAAACAATATGCAGTTCTTGGTCTCTTTCCATATCCAGGCAGGCTATCACATTTAACCCAGGTTCCCTGATCCCTTAAGGGAGCATCTCTAGGCATCCCAGACTTGTCAATATAGTCTTGTTTTTTTAACTGATAGCTGACGTTGCAGTACTATGGATCACAACTCAGACTTGGAATGTCTACTTTACTTTCCCTACTCCAAAGAGTGCCATCTCTGAACATGTTCATAGGAAAGCTCTTGATCATTTCAACAACAAAGGTCAAGTTTATAAAAAGTTCCCATTTAATTCCCATTGGAGGTTAATCCACTRTAGTTGTAAGAGGAGAGGAAGATTTCTAAAAGAGCTTTCAATTTCCTTTGGAAAATTCCTGGCCTGCTGTTCCTCTTTTGATAGCAGAAAACTTATCACTTTGGAGATGCAATGAGGAAAAATAGAGTGGGAGCTGTGTGTTTGTGGGGTTCTGAGAACTGGGAGAAAGTTGTGTAAGAGGCAGAGCATGGGTATTCCATGATGTATTTGTTGGAAATGGGATCTTTTTTTCCTCATAGTCAAACTGGGATTGTGGGGAGGCTTGTGGTATGGAGATTAGGGCAGGTACCATGTCTCTGTGAGCCAAGGTTATGGACCAGGATGTTTGACCAGAACTAGAGGCTTCTCCTGGGGTTTAATGAAGTCATAGGGATGAACTTGATACATAGTTCAAAATATTTTCATTGCTAACTATCTTTGAGCACACATGGCTGCCAAAGTGTTTGTCAGGAGTGGCTTCTCAGGTGCAGAAATGTTGCAAAGGGCAGGGCTTAGCTGGAAACAGCAGGGAATTGTACCTCCTAAGGTAGGAGTCTAAGCAGAGGTGACAGAATGACCTACTGATCAAATTTATACAGTTGAAATGGAATAGAACTGCAGAGACTCCAGAGGCATGGATTATGTCCGTGCTTTCCTTTAGTTTCTTTCTCAAAGTTTTGGTTTGTATTTTTTTTCAGGAAATCTGCTTTGCTTTGTGTAATGGCTGTTTCTTCACCAATTCCAACTTTGTTAACTTTGATGAATGTATCATGAAGGCATGCAAATATTCCCTAAAAGCGTCTTTGCCAGCTTTTGAATTTTAGTTCTTTTAACGTATGTTTTATTTCTGTACTTCAGAACTTCTGGAAGCAACRAACTCTTAACTCTCTTGTTCCTGACTTTAAGGGCTGAATTATGTTCAGCAATATGCTATAATGAACTTTAGTAAATATAGTTTTGTATTCAGTAAATTGAAAAGCAAGTTAGTGGTTTACCAGAACTTTAGGAGGCAGTGATACATATAAGGTATGTGTAGTCTCACTAGGCACTTCTCCTGAAGTAATAACTGAAGTTACCCGAGTTCAGYAGAGGTTTTGTGAAGGATGTTTCATGTATTATTCTGTGCATCCATTATAATGCTTTCTTTTAAATCCAGGTTTAAAAAACGAATGCTGATAGAACAGCTTGAGAGTTTTCTGGAAGAAATCCATCGCAGAGCCAATCAGGTCAATCATATCAACAGCAGCTAAGAAGCTTCATGCAAGAGAGAGCCACAGCAGGACACTGCTGTTCTTACTTGCATTCATTTTTGACATGCACTCTTATCTCAAGTTCCTGTACCTGAATGAGAAGCTGCTCAAAAAAATGATGAGACATATCCATCATCCTTTTTTTTTCCCTTCAMGTATTTTATTTTTGTAATGTGAAAAATACTACAAAAACATTTTTATTTAACTAAATGGAGAACTTCTTGCTTGTCATGGACATAAGTGTCACTTTCCCTCAGGTTCTATTTTTCTTAATCTAACCTTCAAAACTACCACCTCTTAAGGTTGAACTTTGCCAAAAAGTTGCTTTGTAATTTAAAAAAAAAAAAGCACATACATTAAACAAGGTAATGTTTTGTATATACAGTTATTTTGGATATATTATTGTAAGTTGTATAAATGTATTTTGAAAAAATATTTAAGAAAAGCACTTTTGTTATTCCATCAATAAAATCTCTATTTTAATCTTTGTGTAGGTTTGAGTACAGTTTTTATTGGAATGATTTGTTTTGCCTTCCCTTTCCACAGTTTGTGTGTTCTGGTGTCAGTGTTCAGGATTGAAGAGTGGTTTTGTATCACTGGATATTCTTCTCTTAATCAGAGAATGAGTGAAAGAAAGCTAATGCTAAATTGCAACCACAGTAGGATATCTTGTGTACTTTGCGCTCTCCATTTGGTGACCAGCATAACAAACTGATGCTCTGTATGCACATCTGGARCCATGACTAACCCCACAATTTTATTGAGGGGGGATGCAGTAAAGCAGGGGTCAGTAGCCTTTGAGGAAGGCTGTGCAGTGCTTTTCTAGGTCAGACGGTTTTTAGTGTTTACAAGTGCAGGATCAGCCAGAGGGTGCTGCTGTCTGGACACGCAATATCAYTGATTGCCTTACTGGCCATGTCTTTCAGCTCTGCTGGATGCTCTGAATATCTGGAAAACTTTGTTTGATTCAACAGGAGCTGAATAAAGTAGTCCTCTCTGATGTTTTTCTTAGGAGTCAGTGGTTTGCAGTCTTCACCCAAAATCTTTATGGGCCTTGGTTTCTGATGCTTGTGCCATAAGTTGCTGAATGCTCACCATATCCCGGCTTTTGTCAGGATGTGGACGTTTTTCTTGATGCCATTAGTCTCATTCAGTGTTCTTCAGATATGTCTACTCTGCATTGTGTATGTTTCAAAAAAACTACCTTTATTTGCAATAATATTTATTTGGTCACTGACTGGGTGTTTCTGCTTCTTACCTTCTCTSTCTGGAATGGGCTGCCCTGGGAAGTGGTGGAGTCACCATCCCTGGAAGTGCTCAAAAAGTGTGTAGATTTGGTTCTTTGAGGACTTTGTTTAATGGTGGGCTTGATGGTGCTGGATAAATGGTTGGACTCTATGATCTTAGAGGTATTTTCCAACCTTAATAATTCTATGGTTCTGTGTCAGTTTTGAAACAGGCTTTCTGTTTCAAACTTGATTTTCTTTTCACAGCACATTGCTGCTTGCTTGTTACCTTTCTATAGCAGCTGGATTATAACTGTCTGAGGTCAGACTGAATTTCAATTTTACTCTTAAGGTTTTGCCTTCAGGAGAGGGAAATATAATCATGCTTGAAAAATAACATATCACAAAACTTTTTTGTGGGTTGCTTTCATTCAGATGACCTGCATACTCAGCAACACTCAATCTGACTTTAGCCATGATGAAATTGAGAAGTAGCTGTTGGCCCATATTGTTAAACATTTAGGAAGTTAAATCTGTTTTTCACAGGTGTTTGTTTGGTTACTGTCTTTGCTGTATTTGTGGTGCTGATGATTCCTAAACCGCTCTTAAGTTTCAACAGTGTCTACAGTGTAATAAAGTATTGGAGGATTTAACGCTCCCTTATTCTTGGGGAAGTGATACTACTTAAAACAGTGTTTTAATAAATAAATACAATGTAGCCTTAAATTTCCTTGGAGGAAAGCTCATTACAGGTAGAACAGCTGTCAGTGTATGCATTTAGTGCTTGTTATGAAGGATTTGTAACTCTTCCTATAAAGAGTACTGAACCTGTAAATGAAAACAATATTAACATAATTTCAATTTGGGGTCACATTTTCAAAGTGCACTACAGTTTACATACATAAGCATGGATTTAGCGGATCTTAGAATCATTCATTGCTTGTATGGGAAAACTGACTGAAATTGCGTGCTTCTCTTGAAGGAATTAAAACATTTCTGTATTAAAAACACCTTTTCCAAAATAGTTGGGAGCCCATACCAGAAATCAAAATCTTGAAACCTATGCTGAGCAAAACAGAACCTAAGTTCATTGCTTTGTGTTCATATTTTAGTTACAGAAGAGAATGAAATGACTGCCTCAGATTAACTGGATTTATGGTTGGTTGGTTGTATTGCAGTTAYCTTGCCTGTCCTTCAAAGGGAATATGCTCAAACCTGAAAATCAGATTAAAAAACTTCGAACTTTTTCAATTATTTTGAGCAGAACTATACTATTTTAAGTTATGGAAAACATATTTCTGCTATTAGTAGAAAATGGATGCAATGAACACTTTTGGTCTGCATAAAGATTCATTATGAACTTTATGGGCACTGAAATTTTAAGCACTTCTAGAAAAGTGGATGAAAAATGTCTTATCCTTTCTAGTTTTTCATACCTCAAAAYCTTGAGTCACCAAGTCTAAGCAAAGAAAATAACTGAATGTTTTCACTTTTTGCATTTAAAAGCTTGAATTACAGAAATGAAATTTTGAATTTATTCAAGGTATGTATTTTATGCTTCACATAAAAATCCTATTTTACAATCTGATTTCATTCCTCTTTATATAATTTCTACTTATATATGTATATATTAAATTGACCATCTTATTCACCAAAATTAATTTGTTTTTAATTCTTAAGAGTCTGTGGTTCAGGTTTCATCGGTGAACCTATTAATGCCTTTTTATCTCAATATTCTGCCTTTGCCAAGTAAAATACTTTTATTCATTGACTAGTAACAATTGCCAAAGTATATTTATAACAAAATCCCCACTGAGGTAGTAATTTTCTCTTGGGGTGCTTTCAGTATGGTCAAAATTTAAGATACGGGTTTTTAAAGTAAAATGTTACATACACAGATATTCACTGACTAAGGGAACAGTGTGTGTTGCTTGGAAGCAGATAAGGAAAATTATTCGTGTCCTCATGCTAGGCCCCAGTGTTTTGCTGAACCCTATAAATGTCTGTATGTTCCTTGAGAATCTAATGGCTGTGACCCCAGTTATGAGAGAAATTTGGTGGTTTGAATGACTTTTAGGAAAATACTTCAGATACAAAATTACTGCATTGTTAAGAATGGTAAGGGTTGTTGGAGATTGGCCTGGTGCTTCAGAGTAGCAAATGCCTGCTAAATTATGTGTAATACAATTCTTAATTATTGCCAACAAGCTACAGGATATTTTCTTTTGCCAGAGAATCTGTCATAACTTAATGCGATTGGACATCTGAAATGAAATTAATAAACCAGTTCTGAAGCTAAACTGATGCTTCACTATGACATGCTCTGCCATTCTATTTGGGGTTTTGTATAGTTTTTATTTGGGGAATAGGGGAGGTAATTTGCAAGAAATGAGTTAACAGTTGCAAAGAAACATGCACTTTTTGGCAGAAATCTCTTTGCTATCAGTATAGGCATGAATAAATTTCACTTTTGAGGGAAGATTTCTATTTTAACTACTTCAAATGTTAAGCTAGCTGATCCAGCCTGTTTGTAATTTGAGTTACCCTGTGGAGATCAGTTTCTGATGCTGGAGCATTTAGCATCTGTGAGATCTTTCTAATGCCTGTAATTTTGGTAGAATTTTTTTAAGCACATACTACACGTCCAAAGAAGAGGCTAATCCAGCTTCCTAGACGTCTATGATTATTATACATTCTTTTAAAGAAAATTAAACTCTATGCTTTAAAACACCAAATCCCTCTGTTTCCATGGTTGTTGAAGTTTTCTGGACTGAAGAATGGTGTGCTGTTTGATTTCAGAGCTATTAGTGAGGGATTCTGCTCCTGAATAGCAGAGCATGCATACCTGTATTAACTTGTCTCAGGAAAAACGTGAAAGGTCGATCTGCTTTGAAAATAGGCGTTCGAGATCTTTTTAGTAAGACCATTGCTGTAATGCAACAAAGAAAACATCAATAAAATGAAACTATTTTCTTTTCTGGAAAGTGCTCTCAARCTCTGATGGTAAGTACCTTGACTTTTGAGTTGCTCCTCTGCTTTAAGACTAAAACAGTAATTTTATCCAACAGTGAAATTAGTCTGGCTGAATTAACAAGTCAGGAGTTGTGAGACTACATGCAGATGATTTGTCATATTTTGATGCTGAAGTGAGTCTATCTGGCATTGGATCTCAAAGCTAAYTTTTGTTGTCATAACATCCCTAACTCTGCTGAAGTCACACCATGCTATTTCTTTACCTGTTAGCCAATTCCTAGCTATGCTGTTCTGGTGAAAAAGATAAGCGAGTCACAAATATAGTTGCTTATCCAATTGGGAGACAAGGAGCAGAGAAATATCTATGCCATCCTGGAGTTCCTCTTGTCAGAGCTCTCAACAAAACTTTAAGTATCCTCACCTCAGTTTATGACTCTTTCCTCTCTTTGGGTTGTGGGTTAATTATTAAATTAAATAAAGGGGTTTTAAGAATGGCTCAGCTATTAATAAAATACATTTTATTCAATTAGATTCTTCCTTGTACCTATATAGWATTAACGCATTGTCAAGAAACTCCAATACTAAATGCACCAGATTTGGGTTATTTTTWTAACAGTTAAAACAATGGAATTACTTTGAAAATTCAAGTAAGACACTGTAAAACTAGTTTRAGACCTGTAAAAATATGTGCCTGGTTTCAAGTCATCATGTGATTAGATCCAGAACTTTTGAAGTGAACAAACACAATTGCACTTTTMAAAATCTGCTTGCTAGCTTGGTCTGACTGGAGTTAAGGGATGTTTTGGCATTGGTTTTAACAGGATAAAGGTCTATTCCTCTTAGTCTTTGGTATGTAACTGAAGCCATTTGAAAGCTTTTAATTTTTGTCAGGTTTACCAGAAAGTTATTAAAAATGTTACTGCCCCAATTGTGCTTTAAATTGTTACAAATGTTAAAACTGTGTCGCTCAGCAAAAGGTTACCTTAGTTATGTCAGATGTTCTCTGTACACAAACAATATGTATGTGTGTCTTATTGAGAGTTGTTTGTGGAGGAATACTGAATACACCCATTCAGGTGTGCTCAGGTTCCTTTTGGCATTGCCACTGTGGGATGTTTGAGTGAGGGATGTGTGCCAGGTCAGGCACCACAGTGAGGTACACTGCCACGCTGTCTCTACATGGCTCTTGATTTCCTTCCTGGAAGCAAGGAGCAGTGGTAGAATGCCCAGATCCCCASCCAAGACCACCAGCATTTGTGATGTGGAGCACATCTATCATTGGCACAACCCAGGGAAGCAGAAAGGTGAGATGTGGTTAATGGTGACTGAGTAATTTACTSACTGTGTAGTCCATAGCTGAGGTTTTACTGTGAATCTCCTGCTCACTTAATCCCAGCTGCTCAAGGGGAAATTACCTGCTAGCAGAAGCTACTGCACATGGAAGTCATGCTTCAAAGCATGTAAGAATCAAGCTCGTCTGTATAAAACTTGCCCATCATTACCTTTAATGCTATCAAAGAGATTGTCCTCAAATCCCATGACAGTACAGGAACTATAAATAAAGTTTTCCTAACTTTTTTTTTTTTTGTTATTTGTTTTTTCTGATCTGAGCAAAGTGGTAATTTAATCAACAGAAAAATAAGTGATATACTTTCTCAAACTGGATTTTGTCTGGACTGACAAAGTTGGGGTTTTTTTTTCATTTGAGCTCTTACACGTTAGTCAGACATCAAAATTAAAAGTTTTTGTGAACAATTACAGAGGTAAAATGGAAGTTTGTTAAATAAAAAAGTGTAAGTTAGGCATATATGGAAATGCTACCATGCTTGTTTTGTTTTAAATAAAAGACTAGTAGTTGGTTTTGTTGTTGGTAAACTCCAGAAGTGAGAACTTTGTCTGTATATGTGATTTACCTGTAGYTCCTGATGCTTTTGTACCATCTTCYGTCAGTTCAATCTCTGCTTTGTGAATAACTTCTGAAATGTAAAGGTTATCTTGTTCTGCAAAAAACCCAAAATTAGTAAGTTAGTTTCTGCCTTTCATTATGAGTATACTTTTTAAAAATAATTAGAATGCTTTTTACCTTTTTTCCCCCGCAGACTCTAGGGATCACATAACTTCCCAGTGTATAGGTAATAGTGGATTTAATGCTGAMTGGGGGTTACTAGTTTGAGAGGTTTCCAGGTTGTGGTGGAAGGCAAGGTTACATGGTGGGAATAGAAACTTTAATTAACAGAGTGAGGGCAACTGAAGAACCATTGGAAGGGAACTTGGAGMAAAAATGCTCTTCAGGAAGAGACAATGGGACTGTGACATTAATTCTATTCTAAGATTCATTTTACGTCAGAAAGATACTGGGGAGAGTGTCACAAGGCTGCTTCTCTCCAGCTGACTGCAGAGGGCAGAAAGTGGGAGTTGAGAAGTTTTTTCTTTCTTTTCTGAATTGAAGGATCAAGTTCAACATGTAGGTGAAATCAAAGAAATGCTAAAAGAGCATTTTACCTATTTCCGTCTGAATTTTGCCCAGTCAAAAAAACTGGGATGGAAGAAAGCAGGGCAAAACTAGTGAGAGGCAGAATTTTYAAAATCAGATAAATCTTACACATTTTTGAGGGAAAAAATAGAAGCTTTCAGGTATAAAGAAGCTATTCTAGGTCTGAAATGATGCAAGATATTTGTTTGCTGAATGTGATCGGAGTGTAAATATTCGGAAGATTATGACTTCTGCTTCATATGGAAGAGGAAATGAAAACTTACCTGCTTTTTTCCAATGATATCAATTGTTTAAGTAAAAGATTAATTTTTCCTTATAAACTCTGCCTTATGCAACTCTTACGCCACCTAGAACCCTATTCCTAGGACACAGTGGTGCAAGAGCAYGGCTGAAAAGGGCCTCAACATACCTATTGTTCCAAAACCCTTCCAGGGCAGGATCACATACTTCTATGAGCCTTATCCTGTATGCCAAAAGCCAGGATAAGTTGAGTTGTGAACATAGGGCAGAAGCTGCTAAATGATAATGATGATTTAATTTATTTCTCCAAAGTATTTATCTTATTTAAATAAATATTAACTTTATAAAATGCATCCTTTTGTACTTTATCAGTATGTTAACATTTGTTTGCAATAAGCGAAACATCAATGAGCAGTAACAAATTATTTTAATGTGCATTCTATGTGCAGTCTGAGATCTGTATTGCTATAGAACATTGCTATGTTCAATTTTAAAAGAGGCATATAAAATTCCCTGAGTAATGTGTTTTCTGAGGTTCATTCCATGGAAGCAACTTTTCTGTAAAAGCAGGTTTGTCTGAAATGGAGCAATTTCATTTACTCACATGCACAAGAATGTGAGCTGTTTGCTGGGCAGCTACCACTCCAAGTCTTTACTGTGAACAGAAATACCTAAAGGTGATTTTTTTTTTTTTATTTTTTTCTGGAAGTAGTAAAAAAAATTTTTTTTTGATCCTTTTTTTTTTTTTTGTATTTAATTTTAAATGGGGACCTATTTTCTAAGGAACAGAAGTGGTTCAGGCTTCCAAACCCAAGAATTTAATCATGACACCAGTATTTTAGCAAAGGAAAAGTATAGCTTTGTCTACTGGTCTCTGGATTAGSAAGACAATATAGCCTGGGCCTCTACTAATATTGTTTGTGGTGACAGGAGTTAAAATACAGACTACTTGTACCAGCATCCCTAACTGTTATRTAACTGTTTAAAAATAAAAATAGGAATGCATGTTGTACTAAAGAATCCTAMATTTCTGAATAAACTTTTTTTTGCAGGCCTATACTGTCATGACAATTTTAAAGAGATTAAAAAAGAGATGAAAAAAAAAAAGTTAAAGGCCAAAACCAAATATGTCCTTTTCAGGTTCCTCTTTCCTACAAAACAGTTCAAATTACAATTGCAGTTGAGTGTGAATTGTGTTTTAGAGTTTCACAGGGAAGTACAATCAATTCAGACCCAGCTCTAATGCATCATTCAAATGTAAAATTCTACAACTGTGGGGTCAAGGGTCGTTTTGTACTCAGTCAAACCTCTTACCTGAAATGCCTTTAAAATTAGCAGTCATGGGATCAAATGCATCTCTAATTCCCAGGGCAGAAAAAACTGTCTTCAGGTCAAAAAGGCTTTGAATACTGAACCTGAAATKAATATGATGCACTTTATATAAGTACAAGATTTGTAGAATGTTGTAGAATTAAAAGGCATAATAAATGCAATTTATTTCAAGCCTTTTCATTTCATCTGTCTCTTCCTGTGTGTGCCCAGTGCATTGTCTGATTGTTATTTGCAGAAATGCAGCTCATCTTCACCTGAAGACATTAACAGAAGGAATCCCTTGCCACCCTCTGTTGTAATCAGATTGCTACTAAATCTTGACATGTGAATTCTGCGTTTTCCCAAAGTGTTCTTTTTCTAATACTCTGTTTAGCTGTAGCAAATGGCCCTTTGAAACGTTTCCCAAAAATTAGCATGAAGAAAACAAATAAACATCAATGTACAAACTGGTTTTCAGTCCTCGTTAAAGTGATGAATGCTGTAGGAGGTGTGTAATGAAGCCCTTCTGTGCTGATCCATACAATAGATACAGCCACACGAGGCCTTCTCCTTCTAATTCTTCCTGCTATGCMATTTTATTGGAGTAGGTGATGGAAAATACCTCCAGCATGAGTGTTTGCCAAAACAACAGCTGTCTAAAATGGAAAAGGGGTGACTGAAACCTGCTTTGTGCATGGAAAGATGGTTGTGACTCCTGGAGTGGGCACAAGCTCTTTGTCCAGTGCTTTTTTGGTACTCTGACAAGTTTTAAAAATACAAAACCTTGTCTTTATGAGGTTATATGTTTATTCTTCCTTAAACAAAGAGAAAAATGAGTGTGGGAAAAGTCCAGCAACATTTCTCTGTTTTGGATCTTTAAAGGGTTTATATCCCCAAAAAAATTTAAGTAAAAGCTGTAGGATCAGCTAGCGTACTTGGGTTTTTTTAAAACATAACCAGAAAGTCTTGTCATTCGTGGCTCACCTTTTTGTCGTTTAAGAAAGGGTTAGAACATCTCTGATCATGTGATGAATAATGAAACCAAAAGCATACCTTTTGATTTTGCCCACACAGTGCTCGTGTCAGCACTGTCACATGGAATCCTGACAACTGAAGTAGCAAATCCATTCTGCTAACATTGCTTACCTAGGCAGAAAAATGTCCATCTTTGTTCTCTTCAAGCTGTTGGCCCAGAGGGTTATGGTTTTGGCAGAAAGGTGAGACTCAATCTGGGACAGAGGTGTTCTTTTGTGGCTAGGAAGCACTAGGAACATGCTGAGTTTCTCCCCCAGGTAGGGTAACTCGACCRCGCTGAAAGCCTCCAGAGCTGCAGTCTGGAACTGGCCTGTGGGTGGGCAATGAGAGATCTTATTTCATCATTCAAGTGGGGAAAAAAAAAATCCCTGAACCCACAACCCTTGCTGGGGTCAGCAGACAATTCAGAGCAGCTGTGGTGGTATGTAGGGAGTGGTCTCCAGCACCTGGGCTTCTGAAGCCAGCTCTGGTTGCTGTTAACRCACACCGGTCCCATCTGAACAGAGCTGGGTGTGTCAGAGACAGAGATACGGTGGCAGAGCAATGCTCTGCCAGTAGTACCAATAGTACCTGAAGCACCACCTCAACAGAGCATGGATATTTTATTGCTTTCTCTCATTGTAGCTCTTCTCCTCGCTCAAAGTTTTTGGATAAAACCCCCCAAAACTACCAATGCAATGACAGCAACTCTGACTCTTCCCATAAATATGTTSTTTGAATAAACTTAGAGTTTTAATAACATTTTTCACTAAAATTATATTACAATAGATAGGAATTACAAAAATAAAATGCAATGTCCTACTTCATTTATTGAAAYCTTCTTTGGCTCATTTTTCCATCTTTATTACCTTTAAAAATCAATTTTAGCCTTATTTCAAGAAACAAATAGTTCTATTATACAAGAGATAGTATATGCTTATTTAAGCATGAACTATTTACTTATTTTTGAAACAAATCGTGTTTAAGTGCCAAATTTATAATTTTTGAAAATCTAGGCACAAAGACCTATAAAAATTAGATAAATGTCATAAGAAGTAGTCTCAAAAGTAAAAGCTGGAGAGCTTCCAAACTTGCATTAATTTTACAGCTATTTGTAACAGCCATTTAAAAGCACCATTTTCACCCCATATTGCAAAGAACAGTTAATCCAGGCCTTTCTCATGGACTCTGTTATACAGTAGAACAGATTCGGCTGTCAAAATTTTGCTTCCTTATTTTTTCACTTGAGAATCCAATAAGTTGCATTTCTGGAGCACTCAGCAATACTTAGWGGCTGGGAGTTAAATACAACTTAACTACAAGGCCCAAGTGAAATTCTTACTGCCTTTGCAGTATATTGAATCTASTCCTTCTTCACCCAGCTGTAGCAGCTGTGTTTTCAAGGGTAGGTGCTCACACTCTTTGAGTCAGGGGTTGTAAATAACTGTGTATGGGTAGCTTGTGTTCATAATATCTGTATTTTTGGCAATAAATGCATAGCTATAGGATGTCTCTAATGTTTAGCATAGAGTGTTAGTTTTGAACATGTGGACTAGTTAGGATTCATTAAGTGTTGATTATTCTGCTAGATTAAATTTCAGGCTCTTAGATGAGCCCTCCTGCCTTGCAACGTGGAGTGAAAATTGCTCTTAAAACCATCTCCCAGCATGTGGATGATTTTCTGGGGAAAAATRTTCTGGTTTCTAATGGGAAACAAGGAAGAAGTATATCTTCCCTGCACTGGACATGAGGGGTTTAATTTGTGGGCATGCTGGTGTTTTGAAGTCAGCACATTCTGCACAAAGGTTATACAGTCCTTACTTATCAATTAGAAAGAAAATCAAAGACTAGATTGAGTCAGAATATTTAGTGTTCCTTGYTTGAACTGATTTTGAGAATCCTGTAAGGATTACACATATGCTAAATTAGAATTCAAATGCCATTAACAAATTGCGTGTAAAAATGAACATGTAAAATAGCTGTGATGTTTAGGAAGCTTGTGTAAACGGTGATGTTGACGTTTTCTTACAGCACTTTTTCTTGTCCCCAGGCTGGTTTGTTCTGCGTGGCGGTGTTAAAAGGATAAACAATGCTGTAAATTCTGCAATTGATAACAGGCCACAGCTTATCGTTCTCACTCTGTGTTTTGGATCCTGGTGGGAGACAGCTGCTATCATTTAATCATGAGGGAAAGTTATCTCAGTCCTCTGTTTAGTTGTACTGAGCCAGTCTTTCGCATTATTTTTAAACTGATTTGTTTGAAATGTTTCTGGCTTTTTTTTTGTGACAGATTGAATTGGCTCTATCAAATCTGACAATCAGCAAATTTTAAATGATCCCTTTTATTTTGGCTTTCCTCAAAAGTCTCTCCAGCTGCAGAGAGCTCACGTGTTTCTGGCTACATGACAGGTAAACCAAGTATTTTACCGAACTTTCCTTTTCTGTGCAAAAATTAGCTACCTACTTAAGGAAATTGAGAGAAAGCTTGGTGACTTGCAGTTACATTTAGGAGTAAATATCAAAGCTGAAGAGGAACTATTTAACTTAGGCATAAAGCAGGAACGATGTTAAGAGAAACGAATTTGTCTTGAAAAAAATTTTACCCRAGTGCAGTTTTGAAATTTAGAGTAGGAGGGAAAGGAACTTTTCATATTTTGAAAGAGATTGTATAGCTAGCTGGCAGAATTCCTGGTGGTAGAAAACTAAGCCTGCAGCATGAGTCCTTCTGTCAGCAACCCACATAGATCAAGCCTTTGAAAGTAGCCTACACTGCATTCATATATTATACAAATAAAAGTTTGACCTATATTTATGCTGTTTTAAGAACATGCTGAGATCATCCACTGATTTAGTTTAAGTGACATAAGAGTTTATCTCATTTTTCTTGCAGCATTTGTCCCTGAAGATTTGCAATTTTACCCTGAAGCCTTGGAGACAGGCTGTGACTAGATCTACAGGTCTGCAGTGCTGGTGCTCCTAACTAGACTGTGCTCCCTCTGGTGCTCACACATTCAAGGGACAGTGACTAAGCTGAGGGGCCAGGAAATTTCTTACTCACCCAACAAATCAAATAGTTAGGGGCTTGATTTAATTTTAGCTTTAATTGCCCCTCTGTCATGGGGTCAGATGTGCTTCCCACATTCCCCCTTCCTATCCAGCTTTATTTAACCAGCTCTGTAATGTTGTAAAAAACTTTGCATACTGCAGTACCCTCAGTTTCTTGCCTTWCTTTTCCTGTCCTGTTATATTGTTCCTTTTGATTGTTTCCTACAGCTGACAAGTTTGTTATGGAGTACTGGGAGCTGTTGGTCTGTGAGGGATGGGATAGGAACATCAGATATTTTAGGAACCATTTTGAACCCAGGATCTGTTTCATGATTGCCTGGGATTATGAGGAGTCAATTTGGTCACCCGTGGTGGTCTCTTCATTTGATGGGACTTCTTCTGAGACTTTTCCAAGCTGGGAAAATAATACATCTTAGGGTGGTGTCTGTGGGAATTGAATAAATTTGCTCTACATTGTACAATATATCAAATAGGGATCAAGGACAGTTACCGTAGTTAACTTCAGCTGTGTGATGCATGGTAGGCACTTTCAGGGTTGAGCCCTCTGCTGTGGTGAAAGGCAACATCTGGGTATCCACAAAGGAAAACCTCTTTTGCCACATGCTTCTGAAGTACAGGGTGCTCACCAGGGTGACCTGGCTGAGTGGCGACCCAGCGCTCTCCAGTGTCATCCCACGCACATCCCCATCTGCAGGGAAGAGAGACAGGGAAAGGAACACACGCAGTCCTACTTACCCAGGCCTATAGACCAGRTCCATGTGACTAAATAAAGCAAGCTGAGACCACTCTCCATCCCGATGGCCAAGAGGCACAACTCACAAGGCACTGCTCACCCTCTACATTCCCCTCCCCACCTGCACATGGCCCTCACTGAGGTTTGTTGGTCTATGCTCTCTGCAGAGCTGAGTTTGAGCTGGTCAATATTGAGGGCCAAAGTTGTGCCAGGACAGCGCAGATGAGTGCCCAGCAACATGCTCTGGCCTAACTGGTTTYCTAGCTTCAATATGCCCTCATCTATCTCAGAGCGGTTCACTCTTAGCATCAATATGACCCTCATGGAAAGGGTCATAATTTCAGACCACTTCATGAAGCACCTAAGTCAGCTGAAGCCTATATCCTACCTCTCCCCATCTCCTGTTTATCTGGGAGTTKAACTGACCCTGCTTTGGGTATCTCCAAGATTTCTGAAAGAGTGATCTGCTCTTAACTCATTGATGCTTGTGCGAGCACTGCAATATGAACTCCTATTTAGTACCTCCTTGTAGAGCAAAACTCTTCTGTCATGGGCCTGGATCACTTCTTACTGTCATTTTTTGGGTTTTATTTCGACAGTAGCTTTCATGTGTGTATTTAACATGACCTCACATGATGATGGCCAAATTACCATTCACATAAGTTGATGGGGCAATCAGGGATTGATTTGCTCTGTTGCTTCTAACAACTTTTAAATTTATTTTTGTTTTCATTAACACAGAATTTAGTTTCACTACACTCTTGCTTATGTGGCAAGTAAATTCTTTTTATTTCCCATTCTGACTTTTTTAGCTATGAGTCTGACTGCTGAGCTTATGGCCCTGTGTGTTCCCCATAGCACCATGAAAGCATTCAGTGCCATTAATACAGTCCAAGGGGAATTTTGGCTGCTCCTCATTAAAACTGAGCACACTGCAAAGGATTGCCATTTTAAGAGCTAGAGCAACAAGGCTAAGTGGTTACCAGCTTGACATTGCTGACAGATTTAGACTTATTCCTGCTCTTTCTTCACATTAGAAATGAGTATTAACACATGAATGAGGTTTCCTGGCTTTCAGCCTTTGTTTGGACAACACAGATTGTGGCAAAAAACTGTATACTTGGCTAAATGCAATTTCTCTCATTACTCTGTTTTACATTTCAATCATGTGCAGCCATTCTTGTGGCCCACACGTTACCTGCCATGTCAGTGGGGATCCATTCCTGCGTGTGGGTTGTGTTGGGGTTGGTGAGGTTGGATTGCTGCAGGCTGCTGTTGGYGCAGCGAGCAGCGCGAGCAGCGAAGGCGAGTGAGAGCTGGATGCCTGCGTCCACAGAGAGGGAGCATCCCAACTGAACCACTGTGCCTTGGCTGGAGTTAGTCCCTCCTTCATCCACCATGGGCGGGAAATCCTGCACGCTCTGGTCTGCCAGGCAAGAGGAAGAAACTGCAGTTATTATGCTGAGGTTGAGGATAGCAGAGATGACCCTGGGGCCCCATGGTCTCAGTGCCAGTGCTGACTCTGGTGTCTGATTGTCAAAGCTCTGTGACAACTGGAGCACCCTCGACTCCATGGAGTAGCACTGTCAAGTGCTGCTGTCTTGGGCAGTGATGCACAGGGCGTTGGGCAGCTCTCCTCATGTGTCTGTGGAAACCGCTCCAGTGAAGWTGTGTCAAGTGGCTGATCTCACATCAGGCTCACCGCTCTATGCAGACACAGCTCTTACCGGTTCATAAGATGTTAATTCTTTCTTCAGGCACTTTCTGAGTTCCTGTCAGTGAGATCTGGCACCTCTGGCCATGACTGGTTGTGTTGTCAATGCCTCAAGACCGTTATCTCCTTCTCCTGATAYTATCCACCTCCCAGGAAAGGCATTTCCCTGTCAGCCCCTATGCCACCCTTAGCCCTTAGGTGTTGTTTGATTTCTTCAAGGATGGTGTCCCAAACTGGCCCAGTATTGYTAATGAGCCCTGGCAATCCTAAGCTAAGCTGATAGGTTGCTTCATGTGTTACAAGTGACTCTTTCATTTATACAGTTCACAACGGTAAGTTGTTTTTTTGTTTTTTTTTTTTAATAGATACAATTATATTTCTCATTCAATATTAATTTTTTTCAATTCCTARGATCCCTCAGATCCTTTCCTAAAACCCCTATTCTTTGATTCATGGCTCCTCAACTCGAATGACTGATTATTCCTTCTAAATGCATAATTTTGCACTCATCCTTACTGAATTGAGCCCTTTTCACACATTCCTCTGATTTTCCAGGATCCTTTTAAATACTGTTCCAGTCTTCCAAAATGCTTATGCAGTTACAAGTTCAATGTCATTCCAAAATTAAAGGATGTATTCTCTAGTTTGCTGTCTGCTAATGAAAATAGTTGACTGGTGCCCTGGTCTCCTGTTTCTGGAAAGCTCAGAGTAGTTCAACAGTGGTGGCTTCTGTGATGATTGTAAGGTTGAGGTGTGGGGCCAGATGTGTGGGCCCAGAAGGAACCTGAGTCCTGCAAGTCAAATCTCAAACTTCCTGTGCTTGTGGTTCAGCCCCTTTCATATCTCTCTTGTGTTTTGGAAGAGTCCTGCTTACATCTGGATAATAAAATCTTGTTTAGATTGCTACTTGCCTTTAAAACATTTTCAGCAGGTTCCTCCTTCTGTAACTAAGTTTTCCATGAGGACTGGGGAGTGTCTTGAGCACTTTTCTTCAGCCAGACATATCTGTGGGACCACCAGGACCTTTCCTATTTCCCCACCTAGTGCACCAAGTTCTGTGTGAAACCTCAGTAGCTCACAGTAGCACAAGAATCACTGGCCCCCATCCCCAAAGAGGGAGTTAGTATTGTGTCCCTCGTTTCTGTACTTGGCTCAGGTGCTCTCCTGCCTTGGTTGGAAACCCTGGAGTGCCCTGGGCAGCTCACAGGTGTCTGACCCACCATGGTCATCGCTGAGCTCACACTTAKGGGCTGGTTAGAAATCTTTGCTTTAAGAGATGCCTTAGGAAATGGGAGTGATCATTCAGATTCTCTCACCTGTGGATGTAGGCAGAGCTGGAGGGAAGTCAGACAGGGCTGCCACCTGGAACATGGGGGTTTTGGGGCTGAAAACCGGAGAAGCAAATCCCACCTGGACCAACCTGTCCTAAGCTGATCACGTCAAAAGTCTCAAGTCAAGGGCAGGATTGCCATGAGCCCCCAGCTACCAGACAAGTMATCAGGAGACTTTTACTGCATTGATTCATATCCTTCATGGGCTAAATRAAAGTTTTAATTCCTCAGTTTCTACCACCTGAGAATCCAGTGTGTGTTTACTAATCTAATAGTTATGCTTTAATAAGCTCCAGGAAGACTAATAACCTATGGGAAGTTTGGTATTAAAATTTAGATCTATTCCTCTTTAAGGGATCAAATATTGAACTCCTTGAACAGATGTCTAGAAAGCTGACACAGTCTGAGGTGTTAAGTATTATTCTTTTGTGTTTTGTGTTAGTGTGGGAGCACTTGGCGAGCTCTCTGGAAGATGAGAGAAGTCAAGATGGTAAAGTGGAAGCAGATGTGGATGTGAGGAGTGGTATCCCAAGCTTATTACTTCAGCACAGTGCTTACTAACCAAATTCCTGAATTCTTCCTTGGATGACAGCTCAAAATTGCTTTAAAATACYCTATTGTTAATTAAATAACACAGCAAGGACAAAGCATTTTAAAGCATGTCATTTTGTCTGTGCTGTCTAGAGCTACATCCCATTATACATTGTTTTTCTTAGCACTAGAATAAAGATGAACAAACYTTCCAAACATTGAAAGAAGATTACAAGTGCATGTAAGAGCAGCTTCTCTGTGAGCAGTGAATGAACCATAAATGTTTTCATTGTTTTCAGCCTGCTGAGGTTTTAACTTCATCCTTCATTATTGTTTAGGGTAGACCAACAGAAACATTAATCCAAACATCCTCAGGAAGAAAGGAATTTTATCATATATGAATACTTATACAATTTGGGTTTATTCATCTTATAGGAAATTTCAGTCAAGTATTTATTTATTTGGTTTAGACCATTTGAGGAAGTGGTTTCCTTCCCCATTACTGGAAATAATCTGTTTTAACCAGTAGCAATAGATCCATGCTACTTTATTTTCACATTCATGCATTAATATTACTGAAAGCCAAAGCTCATGTGGCTTATGCCACAGACAGCTAAAACAGATAAAATATCTGCTTGCTATGATGTGCCACATGAGAAGAAGAGAGCATGAAAGAGCCAGCAGGTCATTAACAACCTCTGCACTTCTCTTTGTTGTATTTTCTGTGGAGATCTGTGCTTGAATTCACTTTGAAATGTTATTCTTGATCGTCCTTTCATAATAACTGAGCCCCTTATGGCCAGAAGTGTCAAGCAAGGTATAATCCTTGGATGAATTAATGTTGTTTAGGAAATGAATTTACAGAAAYAGGAATCCTGTAGGCAAGGCTTCCTTATATCAGCTGCTCGTAATATAGAGGCACTGTCCCTGCATCAGTTCATGTGGCTGTATCTGCACCGCTCAGCCAGAGCCAGCTCTTACTGCTGTGCTGGGTCTGAATATGAATGCTGCACAGGATGGTGGTGGGGACTGAGACAGGTTACACCACAGGACAGTGAAATTACTGTGGGCTTTAGCCTTCATTCCTTGAAAGTAAATTTTATGCTGAGAAATAGCAGTGTTATCTCTGTACATAACTCTTGTATGTAAGCTGCAAATTTTGAAGATGAGGCAGTCATCTGCTTTTCATAAACATTCTGCCCATAATGTAAAATAGTTTTTGACATGTGATTTGAGATGGTAGGATAATCCAGAACTAAAATGAAAACAGCATCCTCAAATTCAGCTGACTTAATGCTGGATTTAAAGACATCTGTCTTTCTCATATCCGTTCCAAATTCCCAGTGAGTTTTATATTTTATCCTGCTTTCAGGGAAAGATGCAATTGCACCATCCATCTGTCAGTGTATATCTCTGTCTGCCAGTCTCCTTCTGATAACTCTTCATCTTTTCGGCCAGTTGTAATAACATTAGAAATGTCTTAAAGATAATTCAGCTTCTACAGGTTTTATAAAATACATTGGTGGGATAGGTGAGAAAACAACTGTCCTCTGCCTGGTACCTCTTTGCAGAGCACACAAAGAACAGGACACAGTGGACACCATGCACCTTTGGAAAACCTGGAGCAATTCTGCTGCTCATGGAAGTAGCTTTTTTAGATGTATCTGTGTTTTGTGTCATAAGAGGGTAACTACAGATTCAGAGACAGCGGAATAATAACCTGTGTATCAACCACTCCCTTGAGTTGCCTTTGTCCATCTGATACCTGTCTATCAAAGATGGAGAAAACTACATCTTGCAGTGAGATAGAAAGCAGAAGTTTAGTATGATGTGTGCTAATCCTGGCACCTTAGTTAAGATGGCAATTTAATACAAAATGTAAGACAGTAAGTATTTTTAAGTGCATTACCATGAATGCTGTATCCTAGGGCATCTTGCAGCTCTGTGAAGGTATTTCCTCGAGCTCCAAACTGCAGCAGCTCCAAAGAAACAGCCACACTTGCTGGAGAGATTACCAGATTGGTTTTGTTCTCTGCCTCGGACACATGCCGGTAGAGACTGATGGCAAATTCAGTCTTCAGCTCTTTCAGCTCATCATAGGAGATGCAGCTCCCTTTGGTCAAGCAGCAAGCAGACAGGATAAATGCACAGAATAAAATGGGCAACATGAAGGCAAGCTGGGAAGTGTCCACCAGCTAATCACACCTGCAATTAATGTCATAGATATATTTAGAAAAGCAATAGGCTGAGCTGGCAGAAGAACATTTCATCAGTGTTGAGATATCACTTGCAATAGTAATGAGCACTGTTAAAATACTTGTCCATATCTACTCAGTAGCTATACTCATAAAAATAAAACCCAAGAAAATTAATATATATGGACATGCTGATGACTCTGTTGACTAACAAGAACTGAATTTTCCAGCTTGCTGTACCATATGAGATGGTTGGTCATTACAGAGTGTGGAAACACACAGCCCCTGGCTTAAGAATCASCTACCTGCATACATGATGGGACACCTCAGTGCAGTCTCCCTGCTGCTGAGCACCCACAACTCCTTTCTGTCCCCAGCAGAAAGTGGGTCAGCACTCCCAGAAGAAAGGCCACCCCTCATAAGGTATCAAAATTTAATTGGAGGCTCCAGGGTGGGCTTTAGATCCAAGTTTGCAAAAGGCTGGCTTCAAATTTCCCTCCCAGATATTTCTTCTATGAAATTTATCCCAGCAAAAGAAAAGATTGTATTTTCAAAAAGCCCCAGTGCTTGCAGCACAAAATCACCGCATCAGATTTTTATGGGAAATCAAAGACTGGTCAATGTTCTATTAAGAGACACTTAGATTCACATTTAAAGGAATAATGCTAAAATGACAGAATAGTTTTCCTTACAGAATTTCACCTTTTGAAGATACTATTCAAGTATATTTTAAAAATTATTGCTCCTTCTTTCAGCTCAGGATTTCCTACAAATCTTTCTCCATGCCCTTTGCTCTAGAGAGCACCTCTAATGCTTCGTATTTACTCACAGTTAGCTCTGTTAAATTGTCTTGCCTTTCTGTGTCCTTCTGGGTGCCTGAATGGAAGCTGCCTATGAAGGTCTTGTCTCCTTCTTTAATAGGTAGTGGAGTAAAGACTAAGTCATGAGACTGCATTTAAAGGGATAGTCAGTGATCAGAGTCTCTGTCGGCGATGTCTGTACCACTCTGTCCAAATTCCTGTAGGCTACAAGCTCTATGGAGAGCCAGGCAAAGCAGCATGCCACTGACCAGCAAATCCAAGGCAAGGAACAAAAAGGTACACATGGAGATAGAGTCAGCAACTTCTTTGCGAGCCCTGCTCGAGCCTCATGAGACTTGTGACCTGCTGGTACCGAGCAAGGCATCTCCTATCTCTCTTTCCACCCCCCTCCTTCTTTTATATGAATTCCATTGATTCCTCTGCCACAAAGGGGAAGAGAAAGGGCTCTCTGTGTACCAGGCACACAGCTATTTTTTTACCCCCACTTTGAAACCTTATTCAGAAATCCCATGCAATTAAAATGTCTTTATTTTCTTTTCTTTTTTTTTTTTTTTTTTAATGCCATCCGAAATAGTAAGATTTTCTTTCACTCTTTAGTTTCCAGAGGGAAAGAAACAACAAAGTGGTGCTCTTGAAGGAGAGCGAATGAGGAAGGGGCTGCTTTGGATGGATCAGAAGCATGAGAGCTGTGGTTGTGACTGCTTTAAAAGAAGTTGCTGCTTCTTTTATGTGATGGGATCAAATCCTGCACATCATAATCACGGGTTCAGCCTCCCAGTTTACCAGTGGCATCTAAGGGAAGCAAGGTTGTGCTTAAAAATTAATGTTAAACTGCAGCTTGTTGGTTTTCCCAGAGTCCAACCTTGTGTATACACTTGGCTATTTCACAACATACRTGCTTGCTTCAAGTGGGAAAGAAGACATTGGGAAAAAGGTCATTGCAGTCAAGAATTAGTTTAGGTGCTGCTGTTTCACTCTTAGCAGGGAAGGACCAGCCACATAATGGAATTAGAATCCAAATGAGAATGAAGCAATGGGCCTCTTTTATTCTACTCTTCTGCTGTTCCTCTCCTTCTGCTGTTTTGAGAATATGCCAGAATAGATGAAGATATTGGGGTCTGTTTCAGGATCCTGGGATTCAGAGTGCAAGAACTGATGGAGCGCAAGAGCTTGGTCAGTCCCAGTCTAGTACAACAGGCAGAAATGTAGATTTCAATGGCAGTACCTTCATGCTGAAAATTACATTTGGGCTTAAGGGTTTGGCTTAAGGACCTCTCTGCTGAAGTTATCATTAACAATTTCYGCTGGAGGGGAGATGTATTCAGAGGATTGGAACAGAGGTCACTAGTGATTTCTCAAAACGTTCAGAGCTGTCAATGGATAAATTAACTCTGACCACTGGGGAGGACAGTACAGCTGGATTTGATGTGGTGTTCCCAGAGGCTCTGGGCCTGAAAAGACATTTCCTCTGTGCCCTGCTTGATACTCTCCTGTGGATTTATTAAGATTTAAAAGAAGKTTGGGGAGCCCCTGAAGGTTTTAGGCATTACCATCAAAAATAACATCCAATTCCCACTTTGCAAAAATGTTGGTATTCAGATTTTGGGTATGTATTTATGGAAAACATAACTGAAAATGGGACCTGGTATAAATGTTGTGTAAGACAGCATAGTTTCAGTGGGAAAGGGAAAAAAGAGTTATGGATTTTGTCTCATCACAAAAGAGAATTAGAAATTGTGGTATTTGTTTCAAATCTTCCTTCCCTRTAACTGTTTTAGGAAAGGAAAGCTGTGGAGGTATCTTAGCAGCAAAAACAGTGTTTGCAGACAAGCAGAGAGGACTTAAGAAAACTGAAAATGGATCGACACTGTTCAAAGAAGCCATGGGGAATAAGAAATGTACTTTACATATAATAAATAGGAAAGAAATCCATTGGTGAATGATGAGAAAGATAGGAGGCAGTGGAGTAAGAAAGAAGCAAGCATCAGTGAATCTAGCTGAGGCTAAAACATTAAGTAATAGAATGTTGGGGGAAGGTTACGAACATTTATCACAGTCAAGGTCAGAACCAAAATTCTCATGCCTGTTCAATCTAGCAGACTAAGCTGAAAGTTTCTCTGCGCCAGATTGGGATCCACAGTTAAGAACCGGTTCTCCAAGGAGAAGCTAGTGCCACATCAGGGTGAGTCTGAAAACTGAGGTTGCCAAATGAGTCCAGGCAGCCAGGAACTGAGCTGTCCAAGTGAGAAAAGGTCAGGGGGGCTGCAAATCAAATAGGTGAATTGCAGAGATTCCTTGTCAGAAATAGAGGGGTCTTGGACCTACTGCAGTGTTAGAATTGGGGTGCTGTTGAGAAAGGGAATTTCTGTCTCCTTTAAGGATCTTTTCTTTCAGAGTCTTCATACCTACCTGTGTCCTAGTTTAGGCATCACAGACTTCTTTGGCTCTTAATCTGGCTCTGCATCACAAGATACTGAGGAAAGCACTGATAAACTTTCTGGCAATCATTTTGTTTTTAAGATGCTGAAAATGCATTTTAAAAGGCACGCAATAGACTGGTCCCCAAGATTGCACTTCACAGTCAGAAAGGGGCAGAGTTAGCATCTGTATTTTGAGAAGTGCTTCTTCACACTGAGATAACTTAGACTGACTGTGAGGGAAGTGAGGAAAGTCACAAACACAGCAAAACACAGCACAGGAGTGCGTGGGTAGGATTCTGGAGCACCGAGAGCTGTGTCTTTGTGGAGCTCCTCTGAGCTTCTGCAGAAGCAGCCCTGAGAGCTTCACAGGGAGCCCAACCTCTCTGTTCCCTCACTGAGCAGAGAAAACCACCCCTCTTTGAGAAGGAAGACAGCAAAGAGCTTCCTGATGTGTGAACACCTCCCCAAACAGGGAGCCAAAGCGGTGGAAAGCACTGGAAAGGAGCCATAAGGGGTGTCTGCTCTCCACAATGGATTAGATCATGTCTGTGTCTGCAGTGTGCCTGTGCTGTTACTGCACAGCCCCTCAGTGTCCCCCTGTGTGACYGTGGTGCTGGGTAAGGGGGCAGACCGGTGAAACAGCCCCTACTACTCAGCGCTGTGTCACCACAGGAGGCTCTGCAATGTCTGGGGTGAAAAATGTGCYGAAGTGGAAAAGAAAGATGAGGGGAAAAGAAAGAGTCAGAGGCAGCTGTCCTCCAGGATTTCATCTTCAAGGTCTTCATGGGCCAGGCTCTCAGGTACAGGAGTAAATGCAAACCATCGGCACAAACGTGGGTCCTCAAGCAAATGAAGAGCTGCTGGGGGACTCTGGGCTGAGAAACTCCTCCAGGACAGGGAGCTCCATGGCTRAGGGAAACAGACTCAGGGTTGAACCTCCATGGTGGTGGCATTAGGGATGAAGGTCAGGAATTTGCTAGCCCTGGAAGCAACCAGCAGTCACAGGACTGAAATGAGAAACCAGCGGGAAAGGTACAGACTGCATGGACACTATTGGCAGTGAAAGATTTCTTTGGACACTTCCCCAAATCAGTTGTTTTATCACAGAAGACTGGAGTTTTCCCTGATTTATCTGTTTTGAGAAAACTGAGCCCTAGTTTGGTATGGCTGCTGAGAGGAAAGGGAGAGCCATTCTGCTTTGGGTTCTGGCCACTTTGTGCTTCTGCTGCATGGACTTTACACAGGGATCTGGAGCAGAATTTGGCCCAGGGAAAGGCTGGAAGAGAAAAAGATGAGAGAACCAGCAGGAAGCAGGTTTTCCTCTGCAGAACCCCCTTGTTTGCTTTTCTGTGTCAGGTCAGTCTCCTGCAGCCTTCCTTCCACTATAGCACAACCCCGTTATCCGCAGGCTACTGCACATTTACCCCTTTACAAAGGAGAACAGAATTTAACCTTCTATCTGCATCTCCCTTCTGTGTGCCAGCTCTCTGTAACATCTGGGGAAATTTAATCGGGTCCAAACCAGCTTCCTTCCTGCTTACATGTCTCCTCCAGGAGAGAGTCTGCACTGCAGGACACTGGCACATTTGCTCAGTCAGGAAGGTGGTTCTCTTGAACGTCAGGATAAGAAAAATTGGTGTAATCATTTAATACAGAGCTTATCCTGTGGGGAGGCTGTTGGCTCTGGAGTTACAAAACACCCAGCTGAGCAAATTTAAGTGATTTTTTTTAT